ACTGCATAAAAAATAATTCAACACAAGCGCAGCTATTTCGCATGATTTAACCTGCACTGGCTTTACGGAGTACAAAATTAATTTACAACCATTTTTATGCAGATTTACTACTTTTTACAACGCAGTCGTGATACATCCGGCACGACGGCACGCTGGTTGCATGCTATTTGCGCTAGCAGCTAGTCACCAAGCGATCGCACCGAGGGCGTTCAAGCCTTCCAACTGCTATTTAGCAGATACAGATAGTGCAACAAGTACTCGTATATCTAGGCATGTATATATCGCACCTTCAAGAATAAAGTGAAACAAATTCAAAAAAAGTACGTCACAAAACAAGTATACCGTTTTTTAGCATATTGGCACCAGACAAATGATATGTGTGTGAATATATGGTGAGTGACCGTACGTTTTTTTTTTCGAAACATACATCATTATTGAGTGTCTGATATGTACGCTGAGATTTCAGTAAAATGTTATTAAAGCTTTATAGCTGAAGCGAGAAATAATAGTTTTAACACAGGTTGTACCGGGAACTTTTTGTTACTCTGAACAGAATTTTGTAAAGTGGTACCATATTAATGTACACTTACCTTAATATCCGAATTCCCTCGTCCATAGAGTAACGCAAGAAAGTGTGGAATGTCGCGGAATAGATTTCTTTTCGCGGTCAATTCGGATGGCCAGTGAAGCGGCAAATTGTCTTCCATACGATGTACGAGGAAGTGTGATAGTTTTTTTTTCTTGAACGCGTGTCGTGTTATTTCCCTAGGAACACTTCATTATCCATTGGAATTAAGTTATTTAGTCGCGTCGAATTTTGCGTTAACTTAGCTTAGTACAGGTTCTATTTATTTGTACGTTGCTAACAAAAGAAGCTACTAATTATTAATAAAAACCATGTATTTTAATAAATTCATGTTGACGATAAAACGAAAATTGTTCTGAATCGTTTTTGGCAAAAGACGCCTTATACAGCCTTTTGTCAATAGAGTGTTCGACTCATGATTAGCTATAACGTTGGAGCTGTCTTAATCTCATGACGAGAAAACTTGACACCATTAATTACCGTTCACATCTTTAAGACGGTATGCGAGGGTCTCGTCTTTACACGAAAGTTTTGGCATGAATTTTGAAATTTAAGCGCTTTTTTGTTCTCTTTCCAAAGTTTGGAAATTCCTTAAATTACAACATGTTACATTAGCTAGTGTAACTTTTACAATACCTTTTTGAATTGTAATTCTTATTATAAAACATTTTGCCACACGTAAAATTCGATACCATTAAAAGTTATTAAGGGTGGTCGTACACTATGTAGGTCAAGCCTAACAACTAATTTGTGTCTAATGGACGACGGAAATTATAAATATAGCCCCAGGATTAACAGGGAATTGACTCTCGTGCGATAAAGAAAATGGTAGAAAAATGTCAGAAAAACAGTTTTCGATAAGCAACGAGTGCTCGGAGGTGGTAGAGATCGGGATATACCAGTCATGCGGTGTCTGTGTTATATGAAAACGAGTTTCCTGATTGTCGTAACTGATACGAGGTAATTTTTTTATGGCAACACTTTACATCTTGAGTTATATATAGCTCGTGTCAAACTCGTGCTGTCAAAGATTTATAGTCACATAAAAAAAGGGGAATGATTGCTTTCGAAAGCTGAGTAAGACATTTTGGGGTGTGTATACATTTGGTGAACGTAGCACGAATGCGCCTGTTCCTGAAAGGTTCGCGAGCTGCACACGTGGATTATGTAGCGAAATATGTTCGCGTGCCATCATTGTGTGTAACCACCACACGTGAACTGTGCGCTGCCTTCATGCAGTGCTCGTACTTGCTTCCTCAGAGGGAACTTAACTACACGTGCGTGATTTGCAAGAGCGAAGAACGTGTGCATTATAAGAGCCTTGCGTGAGATGTGATTAAAGAGGCGTCACGTGTGCAGTTCGATAACTGCACACGTGACAGGCAAAGCACATGCAGCGCATTCGCCTGATATGTACACACCCTTACTTAATAATGACAAAAAATTCAGTTTCAATATTTTTTAACCGACTTGAAAAAAAGGAGGAGGTTCTCAATTCGACTGTGTTTTTTTTGTATGTATGTTACGCTATAACTCCGGTTTTTGTGCACCGATTTTCATGATTCTTTTTTTTGTTGGAAAGAGGGTACCTCCATAGTGGTCCCATTTAATTTTGAAGAAAATCATCCACCTCTAAGGGTGGCTGTTTGTATATATATAATAGCGCCTAAATTTTATTACAAGGAGCAACTAATTTAATGGTTGATTTTGCTATTCTCTAATTCAAGGCGCTTTTCTCTCTCAATATACTTTGAGTAGTGAGAACCGATTTTTATTATCTCCTATGTCAAGTTCCGTATAGTGGCGAGCTAGGGGATAAGTCCAGGTTTGCGCACTTTCCGGTAATCGATTTCAATAAATACTTGGCAAATAGATGTAAGTCCACGTACTATTGAGGTCGGTTTTTTTAGTATTCTGTACTGAGATTATTTATGATTTCCATTTCTGTAGACACTGAGTACGGCACATTATTACAAAATTAAAAAAATGTCGCAGCGTCAGACTCCCATCCAGGGAGTCTACCCTCGTTCTCCGTCCAACATCCATCCGAAACAATTACTGTCAAATACTCGATATAATTAGAAGACAAATTCAAGTATGAAGCTACATTCGGATCATTCATCTTTTAATTTGGTCGAGTGTGACTTATTTCAAAGTCAAAGTCAAAGATTATTTATTCCATAGGTAAAATAAATTTACACTTGAAAACGTCACATTTAAGCTACTGCTCGTTCACTACGCTGACCTCCCTGAGAAGAACGAGCAAGAAACTCTAGGGATTGCTCTTTTCAAATAAACTTAAATGCTATGGAATACACTTTGAATCAAATTTGTGTGGATTCTGGAGCCATGTCGTCTTTCCATACATCTTTATCTAACACGTAGTCTTCAATTTTGTAATATGATTTTTCGATCAAAATATTTTTAATGTAGTTTTTAAACTTAGGAAATGATAAACTTAATATATGCTCCGGAATCTTATTGTAAAAACGTATACAGTTCCCCATAAAAGAGTTGTTTACCTTGGTTAAACGAAATCGTGGTACCATGAGTTTGGACTTAGCTCTAAGGTTAATATTATGGATATCTTCTTTCTTATTGAAATTATGTATATTTTTACGGGCATATAAAATATTTGAGTTAATGTACTGTGATGCCACAGTCATGATACCAGCCTCCTTAAACTTTTCTCTGAGAGATACCCGAGAGCCTAGACGGTACACAGAACGAATCGCTCGTTTTTGCAATACAAATATGGTTTGAATATCTGCCGCTTTACCCCACATGAGAATCCCGTAGGACATTATACTATAGAAGTAACTAAAGTAAACTAGCAGTACTAACATCGGTAAGCTCACGTATTCTGCGGACTGCGTATGCAGCGGAGCTTAATCTGCTGGCCAGGGACGATATATGTGAAATACTTCACAGTAATTGTTTAGACGATGTCGGACTGAGAACGAGAGTTCAGGGCCTGCAGATCGATTCAGAACCTTACGATAACTCAGTTGTTGACCGATTCCGAGACCGACAACACCCGAATTGAACGTCAAACTGTCGTATTCGAAGCCGAACCGAATTGACGTCACAACCGTACGATTACTAGAACTTCTCAAACGTCCTATTGTTTACAAAGCAAGAACGTAACATGGAAATCTTTTATTGTTTTAAATAAAGTCTGGATTTTCTTCAATTTTAATAATTTATTTTAAAGCAAGACTAATGCATTCCTATATTTTAGGTCTTTAACTGTATATAAAAGGATTTCATTTTTCTTATAATCTATATTCACCGACTAACTCCGTAAACGCTGTCGGATAACGATATCATATAGGAAACCGAAGCGAACATTTAACGTGAATGTTCTGTATAGCTCGGAAAGCGCCCTTCGATTCGAAAACGATATCTAATCGAACGATTCGGTTAAAATACCGAAGAGTTCTGAATCGGGGTCCAGGTCTTCGGTCGATAAGTGGGCGATCACCCTACAGTGACTACGAGATGTTAATCTGGCAATTACGGTAGTGCTCCGTTACGATGTATTTGTGAAACGTTACGTATGCATGAATTCACATATGCCCCCGACGGTGTACCCTTGTCAGTTATCGAAAACTATTTCGAGTTTGAGTAAATGTCACGGTTCAAACTGTAAATGGGTCATTGCCAGAGTTAAAGGATAAAGTGCGACCGTAGTTGTGTACAGTGCCTCGTAACCACTCTATTTTGAGTTCAGGTACATACATAGATTTCACGCCCTTTTCTCATCTGGGTAGGCAGAGACTACAGCCTTCCGCTTGCCCATGACCTGACCTTTCTTTGACTTTTTCTTGAACGTCTTCAGTTTGGTCATGGTAATCTCTCCACGGTAAGCAAGAGAGGCGTGGAGATTCATAGTCTGTGCCTACCTCAATGGGAACCCAAAGGTGTGACTATACATGTTATTATAATAAAAAGAAAATTAACGATCTCTTGCAATGGCATCTCTTGCCATGGTTACAAAACAAGAATTTATACATTTTATCTTTTAATGAAACCCGCTACAGAGCGCAGTTGTGATGGAAGGCGAAAGTATGTCAATTTGAAATTTGTCATAATGAAAACAAATATCGTATTATATCGTATCGTCCGAAAAAAAATCATTTCTAATAACGTAAGCACGGATACGATGAAGACTCATAAGGAAAAAATTTCATTTCTGTTTAGGATTTAAAATAATTTTGCTTCATTAAATAACAATGCCGCACTTCACGCTTCAATGTCGTCAATTCAAAGCCAAGACGAGGTTATTCTCTGTGTCAACGATAAAGGTTTTCTGGTACACCATATTTTATGAAAATCTTGCTTGCTATTAATTTCTCACTCCAAGCCAAAAAAATAAGCAAAAATAAGTAAAAAAAAAACAAAACCAGCATACAGAGTTGAAAGCAGGCGGGTGTAGCGGGAGGCGGGGTTCGCGAGCAGCGCTCTTGACAACGCAGAGGTCGTGGTAGATCTCCTCATCGTGGATGCGCGCGCAGTAGCTCGCGTACTCGCCTTCGTCCGTGCTAGGCGCGCACGCGTTGCTACGAGAGTTAGGATGTCATTTAAAAAGTATCACCAAGTCCTAGCGAATAATGTGAATTTGAAGGACCTTTCACATTCGCTCGGATTTGGTGGCTCTTCAAAATTAGAGAACGCAACGTAGAAATTAATTCATCGTAGCTTTCTCACCAATCTTTGTTGAATTAGAGTGACTTGTCCTTTGATTTTGCTTTTCTATAATACTTTGGTAACATAGGAACGTAAGATATTGTAGCTCTTGCAAGCGCACACGCATTCGGAATAATTGGAGATACAGAGATATTAGAAAATAAACTAGAATCTCATGGAAAACGTATAATATCTCATCATCTCTTTAGTAAATGAAAGGTATGTTCGATCAATCGTTTTTCATGATATTCTGGTTAATGTTGCTTCATTGGGATAACGTAAAGTACAAACGACATTACGCAATAATAAACAATATTCTACTTTCAAATCCACACTACTAAATAACAAAAGAAAGTCAACGCCTAACACACCAGAAAAACTGCAAAATAAACCAATAAAAACTGCCAAAACAACGCAACTACTCGGCTAATATTAGATAGATTGACAAGTTAGAAGCTAATGTGCCGATGATATTTAATAAATCCATTTGTGTTAATATACCGTGTCAATTGGCCATTAAACAGGTATTACAACCAGGCGCTATAGTGCTCCAATAACTTTGTTATGAAGGTTGTATAACCCAGTGTTAGTTGCCGATATTAACTAAACCTTATACAACTGATGAAACATAAACTGCACAGCTTTTCTATTACTTCAATGTTTATAGCTCGTAGTCTGAGGAGTTTACCCATAATTTCGTTCGACTTCTCTAAACTTTTATTTTTGGCTGCGTCTTTGTTACAATTCTCATCGAGTTCATTATTTATGGTGTTATTTGGCCACAGATTCCAAACAGCATACGGAAGGATCCATACTTACTAATTTTAGAATAAAATTAAGGATTTCTCGATTTTTTTTTAAATTGACACGCGTGATCAAAGATAACGAGTAAATTTGTAAGAAACAGGCGATCGATATCGCATTTTTTTCCCTAGTACATTTTATTTTGGTGAGACTCTATTGAAAATAAAGTTTTGTGTTTTGTGAACAGAACATAGTACATTAAAGAGCTATTTATAATTGATGTATGCTAGCTCATTTTATGAAAAGAGCTCCGTCGAAACGATACATATCTCAGAAACATTAGGCAAAAAAAAGCCCGTGTGGATATCTTTTTTCCGGTTTTTTTCAAGGGAGCACTTAGCGATTTTTCCAAGAAACACATGTACTCATGTCCGGAACTCAATGTAGTAGTCAAATTGATTGGAAATACTCAACCCTACCTCCTCATTTCGTTTTCACCATCACTTCCGGGCCACCCAGTAGATCGACATGTGTACAAAAACCGAGCAAGTCTCTTGTTACCTTTAGGCAGTTCGGAAAAAGCATTGTGTACGTCCGGACTATCGACACAAAACACAAAACGTAAACGTCTTTTTCGATCTTATTGCCTGGACTTAAAGCATTTTCTGACCAACTCAAGCCGAATCCGCGTTTGTAGTTGTGATGATGTAGCTTAGTGGGCTAGTTTGCAGTCTGTTTACGAAGCATTGGGTCGCGAGTTTACACTCCGTTTTTTTTAGTTTTATGTACTTACAATTTTAAGCACGTATGGTTTAAAAATGTGTTTTTTTTATCTTATGTAGGGTAATTTTTTAAGTACTAACAACCCCGCAGGACTATATTACTAACATCAAACACAACAACTTTTGTTCCATGACTTTTAATAATTCACCACATTTAACTTTCATACAAAATAGATCGCTCCAAAAGGAGATAATGGTAACTCTGTGCAATCGAATGCAGGAGCGCGGGTGAGAGTTCAGGGAAGACGCTTGCAATTTTAAAGGACAATGGAAAACTCCCGTATAAATGTTTGTCGACATAATTTGTATGCGTCTGTTTACGAAAAATATGTGAAAATATAGAGTTCAGATTCCTGAACAAATTTTGTTTTACGTTTACTATTCTGAGATATCTGGAAAGATATTCCAGTTTGAATTTTTGGAGGTAAAGCGTTACATTATTTTTTATACTGGTATGGCCAAAAGGCATGACGTTAAGCCATAACACAAAAAACTGAGATAATTAATACACACCACAGACTGTTGTACTCGTAACTCGGATACAATTTTTTTTTTTTGGAAATTTTAATGTGCTATCTATCCCTGATTTCGGGAACTGTGTCATTGTTATTTATTAACTATCAAATACAGATTTAAAAAGGGTCAGTTAGTACAGAAAAAACTTAAAATTTTGTTTATGGTAAATTTATTACGTTGTGTAAAAAGTCATTGAACAAAAGCCGTTGTTTATGATGTTAGTAACATATTCATGTAAGGTTGTTAGTACAAATAACCCTGTATATTTAAAAGCCCTTTCAGCCTATATTATTATTATTGATGTGTAATATTCGAAATGACAACATCTTCAAATAACCACTTCTACAAATGACCACTTCTCGAAATTACCATTTCTTTAAATGCTACTTCTACAAAAGAACACTTCTTGAAATGGTCACTTCTTGAAATGGCTACTTCTTGCATTTACCACTTTTGCAATTCTATATATTTTGGCTTCGGATTAGGAACATTATTACAAGTTTGACGATGGATCTATAAGTATATATTATATTAGATATTGCTTATTATTGACCTGGAGGATATCGTCCCTCCGTCCATCGCAACTGGATTTCGCAACCATTTGACAAAACAGGCAAATAAAACATTTCATTTTCATTTTTAGTTTAGATCTAAAAATAGTAAAAAGCCAAGGTCTAAAAATAGTACAAAGCCAATTTATAATTAAAAAATAAAAGGCCATTTCAAGAAGTGGTCAATTTGAGAAGTGGTCATTTTTAAATATGGTCATTTCTCATTGTGGCCCTAAACCGCTCAAAGGTTCGGTATACGTTATCTATAGCGAAGTTCAAATTCTTTCTGTATTAATTATTATTGTTATGGCTGTTTGTACCAAAGCATACATATTAAATAAAAAGAGATCCCATCTCATTCCATATGTCGAGTAGACATCGAAATGAATTTATTAATCTACGTGATACGCACGTGTTGGACACTAATAAAGGGTGCATTTGATTATTCAATACACGCATTCGATTAGATTATTTCGAGTACCGGATATACAAGAGGGGTTGTGAGTCGTTTCTGTTAACACTCACGTCCGTTATCTATTAAGTTATTAAAGACTTTTAAAATTGATGTTTTAGAGCGCATTTTTTAATGGACGAGCTCACGAGGGACTCTCAACATTGAAATATAGAGGCGTCGATGTTAATATTTTTGTTTTTCAAATTATAGGCAAATAGCTGTTATCGTTTAGAATTTACTCTTACAACGCGTTACTTTTGATTAACATATTGGGCCTAGAGGACGGTACCTTGGGACATATTTTTTTCAACTGCCCTAATATTTCTGTCACGCTTTATAGCTTACTACCTCCAAAGTTCCCCCGTTCCACTATAATAATATAATTAATTTATTAATGCCGGACTGCCACGCAGAGGTCCCAGTAGAAATATAGGTAATTTGTGGTTGTCTATATGTGTGTCCATGGTAACCGCGACATAGGGTTTCCTTTAAATATTGTCTTTTGTTTTAGATTCTCATCTCAGTATTTCCTTGGATCAACCCATTGACACCGGTTAAAGTCACAATAGAACTGTTTTTTTTTCTTTTTTTTTTCTTTTCACCAAAATCATCATCTCATGTAATGATGGAGCCATATATATATAAATAAAAAGTGAAGTGATGTAATATACGTGAGTAATGGAAGTGGCTTCAATATTAAACATTGCGCATGAAATCAAGGCACATTACCGCAATAACCTGTCAATCTATAGCTACATTCAAAGATTGCAGAGAATAAGTGCTGTTCTTTGTCAGATAAGGCTTAAATGATCCCAGAAAGTAGAGTAACAAAAAAAACCGCTTTACATAATCGTGGCCTGTTGTTTTTGCTTAAATATTATATCATCTAATTACCTACACAGCAAAATGAACCCAATTCTAAACGAACACACGTTTATTTTTAACAAAATACTTATTATTTATTTTCAGAAATTTATTACTTTATGATAAATATTTAGTAGTTTGTTGCGTACGGCAATCTTAAAGCTGGAACGATGTGTGTCTAAGGCTGAGGTTTACAAAACGAACTGTGACTTCTGAGCCGAGCAAGTTTTTAACCGACTTAAAAAAAAGGAGGTGCTTCTCAATCGGACTGTATTTGTGAACCGATTTTGATGATTCTTTTTTTGTTGGAAAGAGGATACCTCAGTATTGATCCCATTTAAATTTGAAGAAAATATACCACTATATATATATTTAGGGGCTGAATCCGGTATCGCGGACTTTCCGGTAACCTATTTTAATAAAACTTAGCAAATGGGTGTGAACTTTTAAGATCTATTTTTTAAATAAAAAAGTTATTCGTATTTACAAAACGAACTTGGCCAAAGCATAGGCAAGAAATTAGGAGGCACACTCAAGACTCAAAAATTAATAAAACTTCATTTTATGAATCTCAGCCTTAGTTCTTTTTTGAACACGGTAGACTGGAGAAGAATATCAGCGGCACTGAGAAACCATTACCAGTTCATATAATAATAATATTTAGGATTAGATTCTCGCCTCTTCTAATAATTTTTTAATTTTTAAATGTCAGAGGTTGTATTCCCAGAAATGGCACAGTCGATCACAGGTAAGCTACCAGGTTCAAGAACCAGCGAATGATACGCATCGAGCAGTACCGCTTTCGATATTCAACCGCATCAAGTTTTTTTATATAATATCAAGTGACGGGACGAAGAAGTCGTGCGACTGAAGGTAAGCTACACGCCTGTCCATAACAGTTGCAGTGCCACTCAGAGCTTTAAATCGCAAAGATCTGAGGGGCACTGCCACTGCGCCCGTCA